TTTGTAAAGTCCACAAAAAATGGATCTGTGCTCTTCAGACTTTTAAAAATGCTGATGGCTTATTGCAACATGAATGAATTCTGCAAGTCACTAAAACAAAGGATGCATAGCTGAATTAATATTTTCATATTCAGAGTGACTGTCATGACCCTGACTGTACTGAAACTTTATTTAATTTGGGTGAGGTATGTATGCAGATGATGCTACACTGGAAAGTGTAAGTATGGAAGACAAAACACTTTCAAGTTACATGGCCTCTGATAAAGAACTTAAAATTGAATTTCTCTGACACAAAGTCAATGTTTCCTCCCTTCATTATGCTTCTCCTCACAGAGACATGTGTCTAAGGGGAACTGTAGTTCCTAATGAAGGGGAATGTGGGGTGTGTGAGCATTTTCTTAACAGATACTCCAAGAGAAGGAAGTACCAGCAATACAATCTCAAGAAAAAGGGAGTTAATAAAAACTTCTGCTTGTGGCCATCACTGTTGCTGTCTCCACTTTTCTTTTCTGAAGAAGCAGCAGGTGGAGGGGGGGTATGATTTCATGAAATTGTTCTAGTTTTCTGGAAGATATCAAGTCAAAATATAGAGGGAATGTACAGTTTTTTTCTTTTATATTTTTGCATCTGAGAACAGTAAAAAGCAGTGGTTTTTAGTTGGTTTTTGAAGAGACAAAATAAGTGAGATCCATAAGGGCAGCACACTCAGATGGGGAAAGACGTGCTTCCAGGAGCCTGTGCTGGGCTGAACTCTAGCTTCAAATGATAATATCCATGAGGTAGTAGCACACGACTCCTCTTCATGAGAGTAGTCCTGAACTCCTGCCAAAAATCCCTCTATATGCCACTTAGTGCTTCAAGACAAGAAGGATAATGACAGGTCTGTAAAATCTGCTGGAATTGACAGTTCTTATTGTTCTGAAAAGTTTTCGTGACGCACAGGAATTTTCAGATTAGCACTGCACAATGTTGAACAAAATGGGTGTCAAGCAAATCAATGGGCTTTTCACATTTCACAAGTCTATGTTTTACTGCTGTTCCATTTTTATTCTGTGCTTGGTCTTGCTTTGTTGTGTGCATGTGCCATTAGAGATGTGAGTGTGTATGCACTGAACAAGGAGCGAGAGTTTTCCATGGCATGATGCTCCATGTAAACCAAGGCTTAGCATGGAGAAGGCTTTTCTCCTAAAAAAGTGGGGGTTTTTTTCAGACACAAAAATAAGGAACTGTGGATATTTGTGTGGTTAGTCTTACTTGGAGTTACAACTGTCTTCTATTCATTTGGAGGTGAACATATCGAGCCACCTTTTTTACACCTGTGTGTAAAAATTTGTGCCAACTCACTTGAACAATGGGGTGAAAACCATATACAACTGAGGCAAAACTGAAGACTGGTGGCTCCAGCATCTGTTTACCTAGAACACAAATGACCAACAGAGTTTTTGTAACTGAAGGAGGGTTAAGATCCAGGAAAATAATGAAATATTCAAATTTAATATCTCTCAACACACACAAAGCTCAGACCAGAATTTCTGCTCTATGCTTCCAGTATAGTTTGACATATGGGTATAAAGCTCTACAAGCAGATAAAAGATAACCCATTAAGCTTAAAGCCCACAGAAACAAAACAAAGCCTCTGGGATGCCTATTCCATTTCAGTTTTCAATTTACCATCATTGAGGCAAATAGAAAGAAAAAAATAACCTGCTGCCTTTGTGAAAATCTCACTGTTCCAAGAAAAATATAAGCATAAGACTGAAGATCAGATCAATGCCTGGTGGCATCTCGTGTAAGTCAATGGAGCTATGCCAATTTGGTCTGGCACCAAGCATTTTAGAAGACATATGAGCCCATCAAACCAAGTGTTTTCCAATGCAACCAATTAAAGCTACCCCAAGATAGCATTTTTTTTTCAGCTTCTGCATCCTCCCAACTGCTGCCAGCATGCCACAGCTCTCACTGAAGCCTACTCACTCCTCTGTTGCTGGAACTCTTATAGCCTGGGAATCTGAAATGCCTCTCCCACGTAGATCATCCCCAAGCACTAACGACGAGCAACAGTTCTCTGCACCATCAGGTCAAAAATCCAATGCAAGCACGGCTTGGACTGCAACACGAGTTTTTCCACCTCAGGCATCACTGGGGCTGGAAGCCCTCAGACAGGCTGATCCAGTGCTTAGCAGTTATAGGCTGTCTCTCTGTCTCCCTCCCTCCCCAGCCCCCTCCTTTTATCTGCTAATGCACAGGGATAGACAAGCGAAAAAATCCCTTCAAACAAGGTTATGGGAGAGAGAGGAACTCCATCACAGGCAGTGTTTGCCTAGCACTGGCGACTAAACTTGAGAGGTTTATGTTGTTTGAACTACATCCCTGGAGTGCTAACAAGAATTAAAATATCATCTTAAGAGTTGCAGTCCCCTTAAAAGACAATGTTCTCCTACGCTTTCACATCAGTAATCATAAAATAAAGCAGAAGGCAGAGGGTATGGAACAAAAAACCCTCAAAGGTGCAATTAAGCTTCATTTTGATGCATCCCAAAGGTGTTCAAAATGATCAGCCAGGAACAACCCATGCCCAGGTGTGCAAGGGTCCAAGCTTTCTCAAAGATTTTTGTGGAATATCTTAGCCTAGATCAAAGCATCCACCTTTAAGATGGGGAGTGGGCACATCTCTTTGCCTAGATTGCCATACGCAATGGGATTTTCAGCTACACCAGTGCTAAGTAAATACAAATGAATGATACAAGACCCTGGGGAGGGTGACATAGCAACAAAATACCTTCCTCATTTAAAAAAAAATTATTCATTCCTGGCACTTTCATCGCTGCTGAACAAAAATAAGAATTGCAATAATAGCTAACAGTTATCTCTTTCTTGCATACCTTAGAAAAATGCTTTTTTTTCTAAGCCCAGTGCCATAGGATGCCTGGGGCCATCATTTCAATAAAAGGTGACCCAAACACCCCTGGGAAATACAGGGAAGAGTGACTTATATTTGTGTCTTCAGAAAAAGCAATAAGTCAAGCTTAATAAGGGGTCCCTCCTGAATTTGTTATACATCAGGTTAAACACTCAAAACTACACAGAGGAGTAGTATTACACACACCAATAGACACTCTCCCTGTATTGATGCACTGAATTCTGTGTTCTGTATTTTTAAAAAAATTATATTGATCCAGTAGCTCTTCAAAACACAGACATATTCTTTTTTGGCATCAACTCTGAGGCAATGCTGTGTCCTTTAACTGGAGGGATAAGCTCCATGTACACACCTTCCTGCCACAACTTGCAGGGCAAAAGCAAAGCTGACCAGTTAAACCAAATCTAAGGAAATTTACACCCTCAGCCTGAGATTCCCAGGCAGCAATGTGAGTCCTCAGCAGTTCCTAATGCTGGGAAATGAAGCTGTGTGTTAAGTTCTAAAATGAACACAAGACACCAAAAATGAATCCCTAAAATGCAGCCAGCTTCATACAATGTTTGCACCTGGTTTGGGTTACTATAAAATACCTGATACACTTGACAAGCTCAGGAACAGGGTGAAAAAAACAAAAAGTTTTTTTCTAAATATTTTTTTTTCGATGTCTGCCATTTCTCCTATGTATTTTCACAAACCAGATAAGATGACTACAGTCTCTGTGAGGGTTAAGCAGAGACAACCATGAGCTTCATGCAGCAAAGCTCCCTGTCACGATAAAACATGAACAACGCTGAGCCAAATTCATGGCTGGTGTAGGTAACCCCAGAGGGCTGCAGAGGGACAGATTTGCACACACACTTCCCTCCTCTTTCTAAATATACTGTTTCTGCTTTACAGAATCAAAAGCAGAGTCCCAAGAGGCAAAGAAATCAACTTCTAACACATGCCCCACAATGGTGAAAAAGGAAACTCTTCATACTTTTCATGTACTCACAGGTTTCATAAACAAATAGGAAAGCTTTTGAATTAAATGCAGTTTAAAAAGCCTTCAAAGAAGAATAAACCAATTTGAGAAAAAGAGAAAAGGTACAGGAGGGGTAGGAAAAGCAATGACATTTTTATGCTGAACACAGTGATGAATGATGAGCAACTCGTGTTTTCTTGGCTCAGGGTCTGAACTGGCATTTGACAAATTACTGTAATAACATACCTGTTATTATTATACTGACACCAGAAATACTGGCGACTTCATGTGGGCACCTCAGACTTTTGTGCCTGCAACATTCTGCTCCATGTGGTTTGCTTCCCTTTTCAAACACAGGGGTGATCAGAAATACCCCGAAAAACATAGCATCCTTCCACAGACTAACCTCAATTAGGCTAAAAAAACCACCCAAGGCAATGCAAACAGCTAACTAGTTTGTCCGATGCCCGAGACCATTCGGAAGAGCGCATCTCGCTACACAAGACACAAAACCGAGGAATCCCTCGGTGTATATACAGTTGCCACTAATTCGCTTTTTGCCATCCCTCGACACCACCAATCGCTCCGCGCCCGGGCTGAAACGGCAGGATAAAGTGCACGGCTTTACTTACAGAGATCTCGTAGCTCCATCGTTGCCGATGACAAATTCACCTCCCACACGGCAGCGAGCGGATGACTTAATGCAGCCCGCGGCGGGCGGCTCCG